AAATTAACTAAAATATAGAAAATGTATAAAACAAATGAAATTTTGAAAACTGTAAAATAAAAGTTTCAAACGAATAAAATACAATAACTAAAATTTAAAAAATGGATAAAATATAAATGGAGAGATATATTTCATGTTTTAGAATGAAATTAAATTTTATTTTGAGGGTATATTAGTAAAATACTAGAAGAGTATTCGCGTAATGCAGCGAGATACATCTTGATTTTAATATTTTATTTTATTTTTTTATCTCAATCGATGTTTTAATATGGTCTTATGTGATTTTGAAAAAGCAATGATGTTTTTATTTTTGAATAAAATATAAATTTGAAAATATCATAAAAATTTGACAAAATTATATTGATATTAATATCAAATTAACTATTTAAAGTTCCACTTTTTTTGTTTTGTAATACAATTTTTTTAATTATAATTTAATTTAAGTTCAATAACGAAGTAATTTATATTTGGTTTAGTAATATAATTTTCTTATAAAGATAATAGTTAATTACTTTGTTAAAACTCGATAATTATCCTAATTATATTTTAAAATTAGATGTTTATCCTTTATGTGATTATGTTTATCCGCAGTTAATTACACGAATTCAAATATGGAGCTTTAATAAGTTGTATTTATACATTATTTACTTGTAATCTTGAACTTTAAGTAATATGCATCAATATACAATAATTCATGCATAAAAAATGGTTTTTAAGAGTTTTTGTCAAATGATTTATAATATAGTATAGATAAACTTATTCCATCTTCTTCCATGGGATGGGGGTAGAACACACCTATTCCATTTTGTTCCATTCTATCTCTATCCGTTTCACATTAAAATTATGTAAAAAATGGAACCGTGATCATGTTTTATTCCATTCTATCGTGTTCAGTATACTAAATTTACTCTTAAAGACTATTTTTGTTAAAAACTCATTTTTGCAGTCAAGAGCTCATTCGTTGAATTTAAGAACTTATTTTTTCCTTATAGAATGTTTTTTTTATTATACTAGAAGGGTATTCGCGCAGCAGCGAGATGAATCTCGATTTTAATGTTTAGTTTTTATTCCGTCTCTATCGATATAATATGATTTTATGTGGTTTTGAAAAAACGGTAATGTTTTTATTTTTGAAGTAAAATATAAATTTGTAGATAACATAAAAATTTGTAAAAAAATAAATTGATAATAGTATGAAATTAACTATTTAATAGTTTTCATTTTTTTGGTGTAATTTCTTTAATTTAATTTTTTATTATAATTTAATTTAGATTTWATAACAAAATAATTTATTTTTATTTTAATAATATAATTTTTTATAAAGATAATAATTAAACATTCTGTTAGAACTCAATAGTTATTTTAATTATATTTTAGATTTTTTATATTTAAAATGGATGTATATCCTGTATTTGATTATGTTTATCATAAGTTAGTTACACGAATTTAAAAATGGAGCTTTAATAAGTTGTACTTACGTAAAATTACTTTTAATCTTAAATTTTAAGTAATATTCATCAATAAACAGTACTTCATGCATAAAAAATGGTTTTTAAGAGTTTTTGTCAAATGCTTTATAATATATTATAGATAATTTAATTGAAGTTTAAAAACGAACTAACTTATTTTTTGTTTAATAAAGTAAAATTTTAGATAATAATTAAGTAATATGTTAGAACTTAATGATTATCTTAGCTATATTTTAGATTTTTTATATTTAAAATAATGTTTGTCATGTATTTGATTATGTTTATCCGCAGTTAATTATACGAATTCAAACATGAAGCTTTAATAAGATGTACTAATGTATATCCTATTTGTAATCTTGAGTTTTAAGTAATATGCATCAATAAACAATACTTTATGCATAAAAAATTGTTTTTAAGAGTGTTAGCCAAATGTTTTATAATATAGTATATAGATTAGAAGGATACTTGCACAATGCAGCGAGATACAAATCAATTTTAATATATAATTTTTGTCTCAATCGATGTTATAATACGGTTTTATGTGGTTTTGAGAAAACGATAATGATTTTGTTTTTGAATAAAATTTAAATATAAAGATATATCATAAAAAATTGAAAAAAATATTGATATTTGTACAAAACTAACTATTTAAAATTTATCTTTTTTCAGTGTATTTCTTTAATTCATTTTTTAGTTTAATAATTAACTTTTTATAAAGATAATAATTAAGTATTTTATTAGAACTCAATGATTATTTTAATTATATTTTAGATTTTTTATATTTAAATGAGATGTTTATCCTCTATTTGATTATGTTTATCTGCAATTAGTTACACAAATTCAAACATAAAACTTTAATAACTCGTACTTATACATAATTTACTTGTTATCTTAAATTTTAAATAATATGCATCAATAAACAATATTTAATGCATAAAAAATAGGTTTTAAAATTTTTTATCAATTATTTTATAATATAGTATAGATTAATAAACCCATTCATGTTATTATAGAATTCTTTCATAATTCCACTCAAAACATTAAAAACATTTTGCAGATTCTATGTTTTGATGATTAAAAAAAAAAAACCCTCCCTAAATCGTTTTCTAAATTATTTTCAACAGTTTCTTTAAATTAGAAAAAAAAAATAAGTGTTTGTTTTGTAAAATACTTCAACTTCGTTGTCTTGTTTTCTAAAATACAAAATCATGAAGAAAACTCTAAATATAAATAATTTTCTAAAACATGATGTGAGTAGAAGATTTAATTATTTTACTTAATTTTATCAGTGAGATTAAATTATTATTTTTTAATAAAATTAAAAAAAAATTATATTAAAATAATAAAATAGAGAATATTATAATAATATAATTTGTGTTAAAAAATAAAAAGTTATAGTTTAATTCTCTCTTTTTAGAAAAAATATAGAAGATGCTCTTACAATTTGATTTAGTTAGTAAGAATAATTTGATTACCATCCAATTATTTAAAGATTTCTTGAAGTTGGAGTATACCTCGTGAACTGTGTCTCATACATGGGAACGCACCTTTTTTTTAGGACAATGTGAACTTAAATTTTAATACCTTGGGAAGTGTTTTAACATGATTTGTAAAAGTTATGCTAATAATAATTAAGAGACTCTTATAACATGATGTAAAATGAAATATAATGGTTTGGTAATTGTTTATAATGAAATTAGGATGTTGAATGGTTAAGGAAGAYGCATAATATAAAATTATTCACAAGGTTTCAGAATCATTAAAAGACAAACTTTTTTTTATCAAACAAGATTCACCTATTAACGGAACTATTAAAAAATAAACAAATAACCCCTAAATGTGTTTAAGAAATGAATCATTAAGTGAAAAAGGTTGTCTGCATTAGAAAAATATATGTTATGGCATCTAAACTCAGTTAGATGCTATTTTTTTTCTTTCTAATAAATGAAGTTTGCATCAATTGGGTTTCAGTCTATTCTTAAAAGACTTCTCCAAACACATGAACATCCCTCTCTCCTCTCTCTCTCTCTCCTCTCTCTCTCTCTCTATATATATTATATATATATATATATATATATATATATATACACATCCCCCTTCTCTCACATTCTAAACCATAAAGCATTATCTCCATTCTTCAACTTCAAGAATTCAAAGCTTGAAATCAGAAGAAAATTGATTGCAAAATTGCAAACATTTACCACTCAATTATCCAAAGAGTTATTTTATTGGATAATGTTTCAAGAATGGTTCCAAGAAAAGTGGAGTGGTCAACTTGGTCAATTATTATAAACAAGGTGTATGTACTTCTTATCTCTACTTGATATTATATCATTTTTATTTTATTTAAAGAATATATATTTTTTCCTTATATGTCATTTACAAAATTTACAGAATAGGAGTTTTTGGACGTATAAAACTAGAGCGGTCGATTTTTAGTAGGATATGGTAGAGGGTGCCCATCAAGATTTTTGGCAAATACCAATAGCCTCTTCGCGTGGGATAGTCGGGCCTCAGACGGATCTCGCTTTCTTGCTTGACTTTTTTTTTTTTTACTGATCGTCCTCACATGTTTAAGTTATATACATTACTGCTACTTGTAATACATGTTTTACGTTATTACATTGTTTGCTTGTGCACCATTGAATCGTGTACATATAATTGTTTGTTTGATTAGAATGTGTTATATTACCTATCTTATTGCCTGTATGCACACACCTTGCATCGTGCACAAGTCAAGAATCTTCACAACCTCTCGACTCTAATGGTAGATGTAAGGTTTGCGTATATAAAGAGTTTTTGAATAAGTTAAACTATTCTAATTTATAATAAGTTGATAAACACTTTTGGAAAAAAATATAAGTTTATGAATATGTGGTCATGATTTAAATTCCGACACAATCATCAAAATTTCTGGATGAACCCAACTACATGTGCTTGATTATGAAGTAGTGATGGATGCATTGAAGCTATCTTTTAAAGATGTCCAATTCAAGACATTAAACATATTTCAACAAGTATTTAATGTAACAATATGGTCCTAGTCATTTGGTGGGTACAAAAGTTAAAACATCATATAATAAGGGGACTGATTTGAAATATTATCAAAACTACAGGGGGCAAATACAAAATACAACTCTACCCCCATTCAATTCACTCCACTCCACTCCACAGGATCATCAACCATAAAGAAACCGGAAAAAAAAACATAAGAACGGTAACAACCACCGCAATCCACCGTCGCCGCCGTTAGTCACTTCCCCCCACAGTTACCCCACAACTGGCCGTACAAAGTGCCACCCACCACCATTTTTGAAACCAACACCACCCCCCCTCAAAAAAACAATACCCCCAAAAGACGAAGAATCTATTCAGAAGAGTTTGATTCCGTCCCGAAATGAACGACCCAATTGCAATTCTGAATCATGCCCCAATAGAAGCAGTAATCACAAGAGTCCAAGATTGATTGCGTAAGCGTAAATTAATGATTCCTTTCGCATCGCCATCCTCATCAACAGCGTTGCCAGATTGCAAAAGAACCTCGTTACGAATCAACACAAAAAGGCTGAGGATTCCCGTATCGGGTTCGTCTTGTCACATTGATCTACTCTTATGGATAGCCAACCCTAAATGTCTTTTTAAGACGTATAGTAAGATGCGTATTCCCAAGACACTCACCGTTTCATTTTGCTTCTCTCTTCTATACTCTTCGCCTTCTCGTTTTCCCCAATTTCGTTCTTTGGTTCCAGATTTAGGTTTCTGTTCTTCCAGGAAATCCTTCACAGCTAAAGGGTCTCAAGGTTTGCTGGATTTTTTATCCTTTACTCGAAGATGTTATGATTTGTTTATTCGACCATTTTGATGCCTGGTGAACTTTAATGTTACTAAAAAGTGCTTAATTTTTTTACTGTTGTCTTTTGAGTTTTACTTTTTCTTGCGTGTTTCTTGCCTTCTTGGTTTGTTTGACAATTTACTCGAGTGGTTTCGTGCTTTTGCTGTTGATATAGTTTAAATGCGGGACCCTTTTTCTGAGTTTATTGTCACTGCTTTTTAGACCATTTTTTTTAGGCTGAACTGAGTTGTTGGAATCTATTTATTAATTTATTGCTTTATCACTTGATAGGAATTTGTTTTACATGCATGTTTTCTGTGTTTTGTATTTCTTAAGGCCTTGTGGAATCTGATTTCTGATTCTATCTACAAGTTAAAGACTCAAGACTCAATAATTGTTCCCTTGCTCCAGATTTTCACTCTAGTTTTTTGTTTCTTTGATTTAGGGTTAATATGTTTTACTGTTGAATATTATCTTGCATGCATGGTGCTGGTTTTTTCGTTTGGTGGATTGATTGAGTTTGGACTTTGGAGGTTGTAACCTGTTTACTTGATATTAAGTGGGTTGTTTTTGGGATTTTAGGTGTTTATGAGAACATATATGGGGAGTTTACACTTGAAGCCTTGAGCATTTACACGGTCGCTTTTTGTGTTTTTGGGATTTTAGGTGTTTATCAGAGCATATCTGGGGAGTTTACACTTAAAGCTTTGAGCATTTACACAGTCGCTTTGTGTTCGTTCTGTGGTCGTTGAAGGTATGTCTTCTGAGGTGGTTTTTTCCTTTCTTTTCCAGGGGGGTGGATGTTTTGCTTTGCGTTTCTCGATACCTATCTATTTCATTTTGAGTTTCAACGTGGTATTAGGGTTGGATTAGTTACTTGAATCCCCTTAGGTAATCGGCAATATGAACCTCGAGTTATCATCTTTCATATGTCCAAATTCCAATCATCTTTGATTGATATATCAGTTGGGGTTTTAAAAAGCAGTCCATGATGTGTCATCTGATGTTTCTTCTTCATTTAAGGTCTGGCTTCTGAGTTTGTGTCATGTCCCCAACTTAGTGAAGATATAAGCTCTCTTCCTCTTCAATTTCTAAGCCTTCTTGGTGCTTCTTTGGTGTAAACTTTGGTTGTCTATATTATGGTGTGCTTAAGGTTTAATGATTGCGTATGAATGCATTGATTTATTTTCAAAACCGTTCTCTTCATCTGAGTATATTGTGTTCGAAAGAAGTGCCTTTTAAGTTTTTAGGATGTCTGGTCTTTTACAGTGCATTTCTTCTTATGGGTTCTAAAATAAGCTATTTTGATCAACTTAGCGAACATCTTTTTCATAGTGAAGAGGTTCAAGAATGTTCTTGTGATAGTTGAAATTGCAATTTATTTACTTGTATGATATGATATTGAGGCAACACTTCTTGCTACAATTCAAATAGCCTAATTCACATAAGATAGCATACCTACTAATAAGTGACTTTTAGAGAATCATGAATGTAATTGATATCATATTGGGTTGATCTTTTTCTTATATGTTCTGTTCTTGAATCATGTTCCTTGTCGACCATCTTTGCTGATGTAGCCTTAAAATTATGTTTACCTTTTAATATTAGAAATGTTATTGTGATCATGTGATGCCACTCTTTGATAATTTACCATATTTGTGTTTAAACCAGGCCTCTTTCAGATAGGAGCAGGCTATAAAATGGATGCTCCTAGGGATAGAGTTACATCAGAGATACAGGGACCTAATGGCTGTGAAAAATCTCAGGTTTCATGTGTGTGGGCATCTCCTGAAGGAGGGCAAAAGATTGATATCGGCAAACATATTTTCTGTAACAGGGCTGTGAATATGAAGAATATAGTTGCTGTCGGCTTTGATATGGATTATACCCTGGCACAGTACAAGCCTGAAACTTTTGAATCCCTTGCGTATAACGGCACAGTCAAAAAGTTAGTGATTAACTTGGGGTACCCTAACGAGGTTTGTTTAAGTTGATCATGCACAACCTGGATGAAATATGGTCATGAAAATTATTTAAAGCAGATAAGTTGCAAAATATATGATTCGGGAGCCTAAACACAATATTAATGCAAATTATAAAAAATGATAATTACTAGTGTTTCTAGAAAGTCGAAAACATATGAAAGAGGAACAGAGGTCTTGGTTTTTTATATCACAACTTAAACTTCGTGAGAATCTGAAACTGAAAGTCCTCTTCTTTTGATAGTCTTATTTAAAGTTAGTATATTGTGATTTTTGATTGTTGTTGCCATTTCTTTTTATTATTCACTGTGAAGTACTCAATAAACTTTTGTGAAGCACAAGCTACAAGTATTATTGTGTGGTATTTTTTATAAAGATCTTACTTTTGGTTGCACATGGAACATTCGTTGCCCACTTATCATTCATAGGATTCAACATCAGTCACCAGTCCATGTAGAACGACAAATTTCTCTTTAAAGTATTTTTCCTATCAATAAAAGCCATCTAATTTTACCTTTAGGAATTTGTTGTTATAGAAAGGTTACTGATAGGAAAAATTTAGACTCACCAAGAAACTACCTGAATATAACTTTAGTCAACCAAAAATACCAGTAAATTGAAATTAAATTAGTTGCGAGTTTTATGTTCATGTGTTGTGGGGGGGGGGAATCATGATGCTCACATGCTGTTAATGAATAACCAATTATAGAAGGGATTCTATCTTTTACGTATGCTTTTTATTTTATTTTTGTTGTGATGGTAAGACTAAGGTGAACTAGCAGCATATTTGATGTTGAGAGATTTGCATTATATTAATTTGTATTATTGTTTCTATCGTGTTTCATAGACCTGATTGACACCTTAAAAATGTGAGAGATGAACACTAGATTCTTCCTAGAATTTGTTTCAGTTTACATCTTTTTTGATATGTTTACTGGTCTAATTATTATGTTTCTTTGATGCAGTTACTTAATTGGTCTTTCGATTGGACATACATGGTCAGAGGACTGGTTCTTGATAAGAAGAGAGGAAATATATTGAAGGTATGGGTTTGTCATGTATGAATATACCTGCTCAGGCCAGCTCACTCACATATTTAAGAGAATGTAGCCACACCAGTATCATTGGCACCAAAGTTCGTAATCAATGAATGCGAAAAACAGCACATTGGTGTAGTATCTGAAGAAGTCTTCCACATTACAAACGGCACGAAGTAGCAGATGTCAACATTCATTTTGTATCGGTTGACAAAAGATGCAATCCCTTCATACCCGCTACTTTTTAAGGAGTTAAAATATGAACCATATCAAATAAAGATGAATGCCAGAATTCTTTGAATTTTAATAGGCGGAGGGAATATACTTTTATGTAATCAAATTGACCATATAAAGCTATAGCTTGATCCTGCAAGAAAGAAGCATGAATTTTAATAGGCAGAGGGAATATACTTTTCTGTAAATTTAATATTCGTTTCATTTTGAAGGCTTCCCCTATGTTATTATGTATTTATTTTCTTTTGCAGATGGACAGACATAAGTATGTGAAAGTGGCCTATCATGGATTTAAGTTATTGTCAAAGGATGAAAAGGTTGCTACATATGGCAACACCCTAGTTCGAGATGCATTTGATGAGCCTGATTATGCACTCATCGATACCCTATTCTCGCTCGCTGAAGCTTATTTATTTGCTCAGCTGGTCGACTTCAAGGACAATAATCCAGGAAAAATCTCTGAAGAAAAAGAGTAAGGGTGTGCAGATATTGAACCTTTATATATGTCTAATATAGCAAACTGAACGTCTTCCCAATGTTTGATTGATGCTGTAGTTACACTTCATCTGATTTATGGTTAAAATGGTGTCAGTAGTCTTAAACTGCTTATCCAGCATGGACCACAAAGTGCATACCTTAAAATTTTGACATTTGTAGGAATTGCTCGATTGATATCAACTCTTCTATGATATATAATTAGTGATATTATTTTTTCAAAGACTATCATGTCTTCCTGAAATCTTTTTGCAAGCTGGGGGTGTTCACAGAAACGTCTCTACCGCTGATGTAGATTAAAGGTCTTCATGGAAACAGCTTCTCTACCTCTTGGGGTAAAGGAAAGGTTTGCATGCATGCTACCGCTCCCAAACCCCACTTCCAAGCGGGATATACCATTTATGTTAACGGCTTGGTTTATTTTTTTCAAAGAGCAGCTTTCTTCATCTCAATTTAATTATAACAAATATATTGGACATCTTTAGCCTCCCTACACCTTGGGGTAGTGGTAAGGTCTGCATACATCTTCCCCCCTCCGACCCTATTTTTCTTCTTCTTGTGGAGTATGTGCAGCGAAAATTATGGTTTCATTACATTGCTACATTACCCTTTTTATCATCATCCAGGGGTTCTATATCTAATGTGGCAAATATGTTTTTGCAGCTACTTTGGTATGTACAGAGATGTTAGGGCTGCTGTGGATCTGTGCCATCGAGATGGAACTTTGAAGCAGATGGTTGCGAATGATCCCAAAAGGTATGAGGCTTATGATTTTATGTATGCTTTCTGGTATGATATATCCAAAAAGTAGTGTTTGGCCTGCATTAGTCTATCTGGAATGTAGAGAATGCTCAACTAAGCATTCAAAAGAATTTATTGGTGATTACTCTAATGCCAACCAAATTCACTACTTATCTTAGGGAAGATCCTAATTTGCTTATATTTTTCACTTGAGTAAAAGGGCTGTCCACCTAATTTGTGTTTTTGTTTAGTTAAATGTTGAGTTTGTGCAAGATAGGTGCAACTTCTGTAATATGTCTAAGGAAATCTATCATGGTTGATCGTGGTTGTTTGCAACTTTGTTGCACAAAGAATTTGATTTTCATATCAATTGAAGTATAATTTATGCTTTCTATGTCAATAATTTTCAAAATCAGGTACATCAATGAAGACAACTCAATAGTCCCAATGCTTCAGATGCTTAGAACTTCTGGGTTGGCTGTATTCTTAGTGACAAACAGGTATGTCAATCTATACTATATTATAAAGCATTTGACAAAAACTCTTAAAAACGATTTTTTATGCACGGAGTACTGTTTATTGATGCATATTACTTAAAATCTAAGATTACAAGTAACATGTGCATAAGTACAACTTATTAAAGCTCCATACTTGAATTCGTCTAACTAACTGCAGATAAACATAATCAAATATTGGATAAACATCTCATTTTAAATATAAAAAATCTAAAATATAATTAGGATAATCATTGATAACTAACAAAATACTTAGTTATTATCTTTATAAAAAATTATATTATTAAACCTAAATTCAATTTCTTTGTTACTAAACCTAAATTAAATTATAATTAAAAAATTTTAATTAAGGAAATTACACCAAAACACAAGAACTTTTAAAAAGATTAATTTAATACTGATATCGATATTTTTTTTCAAAATTTTATGATATTTTTAAATTTATATTTTATTCAAAAATAAAAACATTATCACTTTCTCAAAACCACATAAAACCAATGTCTACTTAAAATTCAAGATTACAAGTAAATTATGCAAAAATACAACGTATTAAAGCTCGATGTTTGAATTCGTATAACTACTTGCGGATAAACTATAATCAAATAAATGATAAACATCTTATTTTAAAATATAAAAAATCTAAAATATAATTAGGATAATTATCGAGTTCTAACAAAATAATTAATTATTATCTTTATAAGAAAATTATATTATTAAACCAAATATAAATTACTTCGTTATTGTACCTAAATTAAATTATAATAAAAAAATTGAATTAAAAAATTACATAAAAAATGAGAAATTTTACTTAGTTAATTTGATACGAATATCGTTATATTTTTGTATGCATAAAGTACTGTATATTGATGCATGTTACTTAAAATCAAGATTACAAGTACATTATGCATAAGTACAACTTATTAAGCTCGATGTTTGAATTCGTATAACTAACTGCGGATAAACATAATCAAACAGAGGATAAACATCTCACTTTAAAATATAAAATATAAAAAATATAAAATATAATTAGAATAATTAACGAGTTCTAACAAAATAAATAATTATTATCTTTATAAGAAAATTATATTATTAAACCAAATATACGTTACTTCGTTATTGTACCTAAATTAAATTAAAAAAAAAATTGAATTAGAAAATTACACAAAAAATGAAGAATTTTAAATAGTAAATTTGATATTAATATCGATATATATTTTTGTCAAATTTTTATGATATTTTCAAACTTATATTTTATTCAAAAATAAAAACATCATTGCTTTCTCAAAATCACATAAGACCATATTATAACATCGACTGAGATAAAGAATAAAATAAAATATTAAAATCAAGATGTATCTCGCTGCATTGCTCGAGTACCCTTCTAGTACTCTTAAACGTTTGTGATATTTGTTGCCTCATGTTTACTTCTCAATTACTCAAAACTGCAAATGTACTCAAAATCAGTGCCTTAGTGCATGTTATAGACAAGTTACTGTATTTTAAGTTTTATTCATTTGATGCAGCCTTTGGGACTATACAAATGTTGTGATGAATTTTCTATGTGGGCCCCAAACGCTTCACGGAAGCTCCTCACTGACTCTTGACTGGCTCCAACACTTTGACGTTGTCATAACTGGCAGGTCCTACTCTTTCATTTATTTAACGATCCTATTTTCTACTATGTGCTCATCACTATAGTATATGCTTTTGGAGGAGTATTTGCTATGTTGATAGTTTAGCTTTGTCTTTAACCTTGATTATGTTCATCTTACTTATCATGAGCATCTGACCTATATATAGGGATGCTATCTTTTATTAATTAAATGTGAAATTGTCTCTTAAATATATAGCATTTTATGGTGTACATCAGTTTGTGGTACGAGTATACTGCTGCTTTCCCTGGTAGTCAAAGAAACCCCAAATCAATTCACTGTTCTCTGCCACCATAATCATTCAGCATTACCCTCTGTCGCTACTCCTGTCATCAACTCTAAATCGAACTTGAACCCCTAAATCATACTCGCCTCAAACCTTAAATCAAACCTGGAACCATTGATCACACTCGCCTCAAACCCTAAATCATATCTAGAAACCTAAACAGAACCTTTTTCTGTTCAAAGCTTAAATGACAGCAACTGTTTTATAAACAGCTATTTTAACCAAACCCTAAGGATGGAGTGGAGGACAGCATTTTAACCAAACAGAATCTTGTTAGTTAACAATGGCAGATTGCCAAGAATGATATAGTTTGTACTAATGCAAAGCCAAAATCCTTCCAAGACTGTCAAGAATGATTTACTTTAGATCAAGCTATTGTAATGTGGGATATAGCTATTCAGTAATAAAGTTTATGTTTAGTGAAGAGAATCTAAAAGAAGCATATATGTGTTTATGCAGTGCAAAGCCAAAATTCTTCCATGACGAAAATCGTGCTAATCTTTTTGCTGTGGACACTGATTCGGGAATGCTTATTAATACCGACAATGGTAGTCCTATGGCTCAGGTTTGTGCGGAAATATGGTCTTTCTTCTTTATGCTTCTATGCCCTTTATATGCTAAATGAGTTCTTATTTTCATTAGGTGGGGGGTCCTTCTTTAGAATTGCTGGATCAGATCCCAGATAAACCTTACAAAGTGTTTCAGGTGATAAATATTTCATGGGAAGGATGCAATACAATTTAGGACCCTTTGGGTATATTTGTTTTTGACATGTGATTCTTTTTGGAATTACCTTTTCAGGGAGGCAATGTTGGCCATCTCCATAAGCTACTGACTATTGAATCAAGTTCTCAGGTGCGTTATATATTTTTATTGCCATATGTTTCAATTCCCGTGCCTACCGCAAGTCGCTATTTAGATTTTATAATCGTGAACAGAATCGAGTCATAGATTTGCTTCAACTCAAGCATTTTTGTGTAGATAACGTCGAAGACTACTTTAACCAAGTACTTTCCCCATTCTTGAAAAACATGAATCAATAATCATTCATCAAAAATGGGCATCTTCTAGATGACATTGTTACACAAAAGTATCTCTAAAGAATATTGGGGGGAAACAGTTTAAACGCTTCTCATATGTACAACAGCTAGGGTTCAAAAAATCCTGATTGATGTTCACGAACTTTTTGCCCCAATATTAGGGCATAAAGTAATCTTACTCCTAGAATCTTTGGAAGTGTTGCTTTTGTCCATCCATGCTTACTCTTAAACTAGGAGAGGAAAATTTCATTCATGTGCTCATCCATGTGTCTTCATAGGATATTCTTCAACTCAAAAAAGTTATACATGTTGCCATCCACCTATGAAGAAATTTTATAGCTGATGTGACATTTGTTGAAACGGAATCTTTCTTTCATAACTCTTATCTTCATTGGGAGACCTTAAGTGAAAATAGAGAAAAAAAACTTGTTCCTTCTTGATTGTCCAAATGAATTTTCCCCTTCACCTTCTCTCGAGACTGTTCCTGTTGAGTCACCATACCCACCATCTCTCGGTATTGTATAGGATAAGGAAAAATCAAATAATGTATTACAAGTCTGTTCTAGGAAGAAAAGACTAATTTCTCAACGTTGGCACACTCAATCTCTTGTCCTAAGAATTCAAGTATTACACCACCACATGATCCTGAAGCTATACAACCTGTTGGTGAATCTGAACAACCAACCGATCTACTACCAAATGCCTTAGAAAAGCCTAAAAGGAACCAAAACGTTTACCAAGCATCCATTATACCTACTGATGACCTACCAAAGACTATTTCAAAGTTAATAGACCCTTCCTTGATAATCTCCATGCCAAATCTATTACAAGAAATTTGTTGAGGCATATTGAGACGAAGCGGGAGGATGCTATGAAAGTAGAAATGGCAGCTCTAAAAAGGAACAAAAAGTGGGAATTGGTTGAGTTGTCGAAGGGGAAGAAAATGGTAGGGTGCAATGGGTCTTTTGCATAAAGTAGATGTTGGATAGAAAGATGTGAAGCAAGGTTGGTGGCCAAGGGGTATACATAGATGTACGTTATCAATTATTGGGAGACTTTTGATCTTGTTGCAAAGATAAATACCTTATGCATTCTGTTGTCAATGGCAACTAACCTTGGATGGAACTTGCAACTATTTCTTTGAAGACCCTGTTTGTGGAAAAGTGTTGGAAAGTAAAAAATAAAAATAAAAAAAGTTTGAAGATTTTGAAAAGCAGTTGAAGAGCTTGATAAAGTGAGAAATACAACCTGTATATATATTTCTATTTTTAGCTTAAAGAAATATAAGCTGAAGTTATGGAACTGTACAAAATGACTCCATTAATCTGCATATCCTATCCAACATTGGTTATCTACAAATGGGATTCACCTTTTTTCTTCCTGAATTGAACTGCTGCAAGATTCATAACCTGTTTTTCTTATTGTTTTTTAGTTAATCTTGTGAGCCATTTTAATTTTGCTTACTTGATGATTGCATCTGAACTCTGATGCTCTTGAAATTTATTGGTTTATCAACCAACAACTAGTTTAAGTGCATTTATTTAATTTCTGAACTTGTGAAGCTAGTTTAGTTGACACTTATGAATGTAATCTAAAGTATGATCATCTTCCCTACTGCCTTTAAAGTTATACTTTATTAGTTACTACTTTCTGGAGCAAAATTAACACATCAAGTTCAATGTTGTTAGGTTCTTTATGTTGGAGATCACATATATGGGGATATTTTGCGCAGCAAAAAAGTCCTAGGTATAACTCTTCATGCTACCTCTTTGCTTTCCCTAAATTAACTTCCTTAAATTTCCGAAGGACATTTTTACATAACTGTAGTAGAAGATAGAAATTGGGACCCCTGGTTCTTAAATTTTAATTATATTACCGTATCCTTTTTCTGAATCATATCATTCATAGACAATGGTTATATTGCTGTACTGCTATGAGCTAAGATGGAAAACATTGACAATGTAGCATTATACAATCATTTTCCTGGAAGTTTTGTGTACATGGGTTAGCAAGTTATATGATGATGACGTTATTTGATTATTTTTTTACTATTTTGTAATCTGATTATATGGATCAGGTTGGAGGACAATGCTTGTTGTTCCAGAACTTGAAAAAGAAGTTAAACTTCTGTGGTACTTGCGGGACACTCGTAAGGTAATTGTGCTACTGGGAGGGTTTGGGCAGTATATTTTGTGCTGGTGAATATAGATGAAAATTCTTGTATGTATGTGGTCTTAGTTGGGTAGTTTTTGCCATACTCTAGTACCATGTATATATATATATATACACACACACACACACACTAGAAGGGTACTCGTGCAATGCAGCGAGATACATCTTGATTTTAATATTTTATTTTATTCTTTATCTCAGTCGATGTTATAATATGGTCTGATGTGATTTTGAAAAAGCGATAATGTTTTTATTTTTTAATAAAATATAAATTTGAAGATATCATAAAAATTTGACAAAAATATATCGATATTAGTATCAAATTAGCTATTTAAAATTCCTCATTTTTCGTGTAATTTTTAATTCAATTTTTTTATCATAATTTAATTTAGGTTCAAATAGGAAGTAATTTATATTTGGTTTAATAATATAATTTTTTATAAAGATAATAATTAATTATTTTGTTAGAACTCGATGATTATCTTAATTATATTTTAGTTTTTTTATATTTTAAAATGAGATGTTTATCCTGTATTTGATTATGTTTATCCGCAGTTAGTTTACGAATTCAAACATGGAGCGTTAATAAGTTGTACTTGTGCATAATTTATTTGTAATATTGAATTTTAAGTAATATGCATCAATAGGGTACTTCATGCATAAAAAATGGTTTCTAAGAGTTTTTGTCAAATGCTTTGTAATATAGTATAGATATATATTATACGTGTGTGTGTGTGTGCTTTTGTGTAGGACACATATCTATTACACACACAAATAACTAACACAGCAAGCCTGTTGTTATATCTGGTGCATAAGTTCTTGTTACTCTGCTTGTACTATTTGTTTGTGTACAAGTGTGAATGAGCACAATGGAAACATACTTGGATCAATTTTCTGTTTTGTAGCATAAGTTTCCATCACACCATCAGGCGCATATGGTGAATTTGTGCAACACCAATGCCTCTGTCATGTTACTGTGCCAATTTTACTTTTCAAATCCTGATGAGTTTCTATATTTTCTTTTGCGTTCCAAGCTTTAACTGATTTAAATGTGCAAATACAAAGTGTCACTATCTTATCTTCTTTGTTTTTCTACTAAAGCATATGCCTTCTTGAGCAGCAACTTATATTGCTGCGGAGCGAACGAGATCAGATTGAAGATCAAATCCATCATTTAAAATGGTCTATTCAGTAAGTACATACTTAAGCAACCACTTTCTTCTACCAAATTTAAGACCGAGTTGCTAATTAATCGAGACACCTCATATTCTTCTTGCAGGTGTGAGTGTTTAGATGCTCATGAGACAGAAAAGGTGTCATCAAAGCTCGAATCACTTGAGGTTGGTTTTTCTCTAAAATGACAAGTTTTCTTCATGTGGGATAAATGGTTTGATTAGTGATGCCGTATTATAAAAGTATCTATGCAAAAAAAAAACCTCACCTTGTGGAGTGTACTTTCTGAAATTATCTTTCTTTGCAATATATGACGTTTACGGTTGATTCCTTTGCAATATGACCTTACCCCGCTTAAATTTGCTTTATTCCATATAGGTGCAATGTAATCGTGTTCGCGTTACACATCAAGAGGCTCAAAAAGTATTTCATGAGAAGGTAATTAGTTAACAAATTTCAATAGATATTGTGAGTTATTGATTGTTAAACTCCAAACCACCTCTGGCAAAGTTAACTACTGTGTATGGACTATTATGATTATATCAAATTATAACCATGAACATCTGTTTGTTTCTTTCCTTTAATCACTTATTTCACTTACCCGAAACGGTAAAAGACACTTGTGCCATCTTGGAAGTGACACATTCCTTTATAAATGATAGTTCCACAAGGTGTGGGGGCAGCTGATGAAAACTGGGTACCAGAACTCGCGCTTCGCTCACCAGGTTTTTAATTATCGCACTTTCTACTTTGAAACAACTTCTCTTTTTTTTGAAGTAGAAAACAGGTCTGTGTAACCACAAGGGTGGTATCTGATTGGTTTGAGCTTGGTTCTAAAGGTCAAAAGTACCTGGAGGTCCCAAGTTCAAATCTAAGGAGGAATAAAAATCTCCTTGTGGCCACGGAGATTCAAATGCAGTGACTCCGGGCTATCTGCAAAGCAGGTGGTTGCCCTGGGATTAGTCGGCTCGCATAGCGGGTTGGATATCCAGGTTAATAAAAAAAAAGACTCTGTACATCCAATGTTCTAAATGGCGTGAGGACTTAGGAGCCACAACGAGGCCACAACTTTTTTCAATATACATGTTTTTCATTATTATTATGTGACCATATAGAAGTATGTTATATACTAAAAGCTAAAAAGTGGGTAAAAATTATGAAGTAAAAAAAGATCAAATAACACCTTTCAAAAAAGAACCAGTTGTGTTGTTCGCGGTGGCATGACGAGCCTTTTTGAACACTGTATACATATCCCACCTCCGACCCCATCTCTTAATGGGATTTACTGGGCCATGTTTGGTTTGTTTTTTACTTTATGTTTCTATGTGATGTAGGTGGAGCGATTTGCATGTTTGTACACGAGCCAAGTTGGTAACCTGGGGCTATATTCTCCTGCAAAATACTATCGACCAAGCGAGGATTTCATGCCACACGAGTTCGACGTCCTCTCTCTGTGAAATTTGCATATATGATGATTTAACTAGTTTCGAGGCAATGACCATCATGTTATTGCTTTTTTTTTCTCTTTTCTTTATGCCATCTTGTTACTGGGAAAGGTATAGCCTCCTAGAGAATGGTACACACGAAACTATATCAACACGACTCTCTTTTGGTTCACGACGAACTCAAACTTACACAATTTCTTAGCGTGCAAATTGCTTTTGTTTCACCAATTTTCATATACAATTTTCACAAGCCGCGTTCTCATGAAAACAATTGTTTCACTCTTCAGAGTCGAGGGCATATTCGTTTTCTAATGCTCATTTGGCCAAAACGAATCTAGAACTTACATTGGGTGATGCATGCCGAAGGCTGTAAACTGAATTTGTAAGCACTTGTTACATTGGATCAGACAAGACAGTATAAAAAATTATTCCATGTTTGGTGCAACATTAGATCGAGACAGATTGAGATTTATGAAAACAAAAATCTGAAAGATGGGATCAGATAGATAAATATCCGAATTATTATGTCGAATTAAAGGCCTAAAAACGTTCCAAGATTTCTTTCGCTCGCTGTTCGTACTCATAACCTCGTTCATCAACTCCTATCCAATCAAAAGAACCATAACTTGAAAAAAAAACACTGATCTTTGAGACCAAGAGATCGAAATTCCGTGCAGAAAGTTAAACGGAAATAATCCAATGTGATGAAGATAAGAATTAGCAGAAACAAAAGAGATAATGAAGAAACATAGCAATCTTAATAATCACGAAAGGGTTGTATTTATCTTGGATGAATCAGTCATATCTTGAGTTTGTTTTGATGAGATCATATCTGTAGCTGGATAATTTGAAATCTGTAATTATCGATTAAGCCAGCCCACCTCAACTAGTATATATATATACATACATACACACACACACACACATATATATATATATATATACATATACACACACACACATATATACGTACATATACGTATAGAATGGTACATTCATCACCCCACCAGCAGTTATTTGTTCGTGCATTCATCCAAGACTACCAAATGTCAGAGGTACTGATAATGCTTTCCTTTATTTTGTGGATCCAAGGCGAATCTGTTTGATTATTCGTTAAATCGTTACAATGTATTTGATTTCTAATGATATATACGGATGAATACGTAATTTAAGCTGAAAAAATATATTTTCTCGTTAAGTTTGCCACAAACCAACCAACCAACCTTATGTTTTCAATGTTTCTTAGATTCAAGAAACGGGTTCGAGCTCAACATGGACTCGGAATCTAAACAAGCTTTTTGAGAACGCGTTGGCTGACCAGGACGAAAACAACCCTGATCGGTGGCAAAACATTGCAAAGGCCACTGGGAAGACTGTGGAGGAAGTCAAGAGCCACTATCAATTGTTGGTTGAAGATTTGGATCTAATCGAGTCGGACAAAGTGCCACTACCAAACTACGAAAACTCTAAACCTGACCCTTGAAACGTGTACTCCTATCGGGCCAACCAGAAGTAATGCATCTGAACATAGACTCGTGCATGCCATCGATATGTTTCTTGGGAAAATGCATATGTTCCCACTGTACTTTACTGTAACAGGTAAGGAGGTAGACATTCTTGCAGAATACTGTATCGTACATTACACGAGTCTAGCGTAGTATTAATCTAGCGTAGTATTGATCTAGCGTAGCATTGATCTAGCGTAGCATTGATATAATAAAATGTATCATCTCATAAAAGCATAGCTCATTTGGCTTGTTCATTTTCCTCCATTTTTTCAAGATTTATATTGAATAAAAGAATGCTGCAATTCAGAATAAAATTTGTCAAAACCTCTTTATACTATATCGCAAGAAACCACCGTCCGAAACCACATCAAAATTGCGGTGGTCGGGATGGGTGTATATATATAGATATAGATAATGCATTTGCTTCTGCATATAACAATATTTGACCTCCTTTAAAATGGATTTATAACCTGCAAGTATGCATTTTTTTCATCTGAAGGAAAACTGAATCTCTTCCAATGTTTTGCCTTTGGTTTCCGGTACAAAAACCGCAGAGAAGACGAGCGTTATAGCACACATGACCATGTACAAAGTGAAGGTTCCTGTCAGAAACAAAAAATTGCATATTAGTAGCTCAAACATTTATCCTGTATTTGAATGTGTTTATCAACTGGTTTTATAGAGTTCAAATATGAAGTTTTTAAAAGCTATACTTATGCAGTAATAAGTTGTAAACTTGAATTTCTAGACCAAATGCAGTATAATATTGTATAGATAACATAAATATTGGAGATCTTCTTGGAAATAGCCTCTCCGTCTCTTGAGACAGATACAAGGTAGGGTCTGGTGTACATCTTACACTAGATCCTACCTTGTGGTTGGATATACTGTGTTTATTTGGTTTTATCGAAAGCATGAACGTGTTTAATCTCATCATTTCATATTTAGACAAAAAGATACTTCTGTAAGCATATATACACACGGAAAGAGCGCGAAAGAGACACAAACCTCCACTACTCCATGATAAAAGCAAGGGTGCAGTTAATGTAACGACCCAACAAATAAACCAATTGGCCAATGTTGCTATACTACCAGCAAGTCCTTTTATATTCACGGGAAGAATCTGTAACGTCACCAAGAAACAATGAGTACAAAAAAGACCGTAACAACTAATAAGCAGCTATACGCCGTTCAGCAACAAATGGCGGTATTCTTTTTCTTAACTGTTTTTGCAAACCAAGAATTCTGCATGCATCCTACCCTTCATAGACCCTACACCAATGTGGGATATATTGGGCTTGTTTGGTTTGGTTTGGTTTGGTTTTATAATTAAACGTTCAGAAGATACAGGTATAATTACCTCAGACATAATGATCCATGGAATTGGCCCCATTCCAAGAGAAAAACCAATGATCATGCCCTAAAGAAAAGGTTATTTACATCAATTAGGAAACTTTTAGCAGAAAACATATTAAAGATCACCATATTATTGCATAAAAACAATAAAGATGTACCACAACTCCAATCACTGATAAAATGCCCAGTACTGTATACATGGTGGAACCATCCTCTGCAAAACTCTGAGATGTTGCTTCTGAACATTAGTTACAATATTTTCACAACTTGGTGCAAGTGTAACCAAGATCTTTTTTCAACCGTCCATGTAACAAAGCTTCAAAATTTCCTGTTGATCTTATAACATTTGAATGACTAAGATACTCGTTGTTTAAAAAGGGTTGCAACGAAGTGGACGATAAACTTGATAGTCAAGTCATCAAATGTTACAACATGAGCAGGTTACCGTTCAAAATTGGTTAAAAATAGGAAATTCTGAAACTAGGTTGCATCAAGTAGAAAATTTTGAAACTGTTACATCGATTGAGAAAAAATAATACATTGTAGGTTATCCAAATTAAAAGGGGGAAATGTATAATCACCTTGATGAAGAAGGATGCTGCAACGAGTATGAGACTGAGAGTCATTATAGAAGAAGAGACCTACAAAAGATTGTGGTTTCCTTTTAAGTAGGTATAAATAATACATTTGTAGCATATATGTATGTATGTATGTATGTGTGTGTGTTTATATATATATATATTGGTTTCAGGTGAAACCTGCAAAAACATGGAAAACTGATAGACACCCTGATAAATCATTCATGTGTCTGGTATGCACATGTGAAATAAAATGCAAACGTGCATAGAAGCTAGAATTCATATTCAATTACTTTTCTGCACATGTGCATACCGTATAGATGAATGGTTATTAGAGTATTCATCAGTTTTTCACTTTTTTGGGGTTTTCCCCTGAACCCGAGTCTATATATTTATATCCTTACAATAAGCAGAATCCTACGGCCTGTTTTGTCAACCAACCACGTTGAAACTGCCGTTGCAATGACCTGAATTGTACAATATTTTTGTTACAACTTGACGAAAATATAAGATGGCAAAAAATTGGTGAAGGAAAACATTTTCATAGTTGTTGCCTGTTGGCACTTACTTGGATAGCACCAAGTCCAAATGTAGCAACATTACCATTAGAAATTCCTGTACAATAAAAACAAAAACAAAAAGTATTACAGATTCTGCTTTCAGACTTCAGCACTATCTCTTATCAATAAGAAGTGAAACAAGACTTCAGAGCTCAACACCTCTTAAGATGTTCCATACTTATAGATGACGACTACATCCAATAAGATGTTTCAATTTACCTGCTGATTGGAAGATGGTACTTGAATAGAAGAGAACACCATTGGTTCCAGTTAGCTGTTGAAGGACAAGTAAGCCGATTCCTATCTGCAGGATATAAGGATCAAAGCAGCCAAATGGTTGGTTTTATAAAATGAATGGAATAATATATGTCTGTATGAGTTAAGACATAACGATGCATACCATCAAAGGAAACCAGTATCTTCTTTGTTTGAGGTCTGAAAAACGGATTGCAGCTCTTCTGTTTGATGAGACCAGAGACCTCTGCAAAATGCAACAAATATCATCAATAGTTTTGAAGGATTAAGAGAGAAAAGAATAGTTCATACTTTTAATATGGTTTCACGTGTGAGCTAGTGCATTATTCATCATGAATATCATACATTTTCATTATTCATGATTTCATGAATTTTCATCATTAATATCATGCATCTTCACATGAACAATTTTCCAAGTGAATATCTATCACGACATTTATAATGAATAATACATGAATAGTTGGTTCCTAGGTTCTCAAAATATTAAAGGTTCTCACTTGAACCTGCCCCTATTTATATATATGCATATGTTTGTGTAGATATATGTATATGTATAATGTATGGATATGCGTATACACACAAGGAAATTCAAAAAGATGTACCTTGATTTCATTTACTTCCTGTGTAATATCAGTATCAAAACCGCGAAGAACTTGCAAAGAAGCTTCAAAATCATCTGTCATTCCCATTTTCGCCTGAAATAAGAAGTCGAAACCTTATTGCTCATTACCATTACAGAAACAATCCAGCCACTAGCTATGCTGCTAAAAACACTTCAGTACGCTTACCAACCACCTAGGAGATTCCGGGATGAAAAAGAGTCCAGGTATCAAAATCAAGCAAGGTAACGTTCCTGCAAAAGAAGATAAAAAAATTGTCACACCGCTTCTAACGCCTTAAAAAGGAGCATTCTTGAGAGGATTACCCAAAATCGCGAGTATTCTCCAATTAACAAAAAGTCCGAGCAAATAAGAAAGCATAATCCCAATTGTGACCGATAGCTACAAAAACAACCAAAAGTTTAAAACTTTACTACCACATGAAGGTTGACTAATGATGGAACTACACATTCACATTTCTAAATAGAGTTACCTGGTTAACAGAACCTAGCCCCCCTCTCATGTTTTGAGGTGCTATCTCAGCTATATATACAGGAACCTTTGTAATAAAAGAAGGTTCCATTAGAGTAGTTTTCTCAGACAGTTTCTTTCTAGAACAAACATCAGAAAAAAGAAGATTTACCGTATAAGATATAATCCCGACACCAAATCCTTCTAGTAACCTTCCCATGTAAAGAAACGATGAATCCTAAAACAAACATAGCGAAGTGATCATTTGATAAAGGCTTTTGAGAAACCGAGAAATGAAATAAGGCGATTGAAGTAGAGGGTATTTGAAACTAACTTTGGCAAATGATATAGCAAGCCAGCCTATTATATTTGGGATAGCTGCAATCATCAAAGACTGCAATAGAAGGAATTAACAGTCAGTTATGCAAAATAAAAAACCGGTTGTCTTCACAAACACAGCTCTTTCGGGTAGAGGACAGGTCTACATACATCACATCATGCCCGTACATATACTTGATCAGTATGGTTTGGTTTAGTTGTGCAAAACAAACTATGCAATAATTATATCCAATATGAACAGTGGTGACTGACTTTTTCAACTTTAACTTTTCTTGATCATCTTTCTATATGGAATTATATACAACTTGCACACATATATGCATATACATATATATATGATATATCTATTGTATTTATATAGTTCTGTCACCTTACAGAAAAGATGAGCATATAGAATACAAAATGAGGCAAGATGGCATACCCCTTTTCTGCCAATATACTCTGCAATTTGACCACTAGCTATTGCACCAACCATGGCACCCACATTAGATAAAGAACCAAACAACGAAAACTGAAAACCCAATACTTCAGATCAGTTCAAGATTCATTACAAGAAACCAAAATTTAATTCAAGAAACGAAAAGGGGTCAATCAAGAAACCTCTGAGACGGTAAGTTTAAGATCTCGACTGATATCCGTTTGTGTAGGTGAAGAATAACCACCCTGCAAGATTCCAAAAACATCATCATTGATTTCAGCTTTTAGACGTCCGAACAAATACACCCATCATCTCCAGAGTTGGTACCGATCTTATACTTTTCAATAAACAAATTACTACCATCATTAAACAAATCGATATAATTTTGCTTTCATAAAGTGATATTTTAACGTCAAACAATCAAATCGTGGTCAAATTTTCATGGGTTTTTTGCTTACAGTGAAGCCGAACTGAATAGGGCCTAAGGCAACGATGAGAACACAAGCGAGCACAGAAACAGAGCGGTCTCTGATCATTTGAGAAGACGTCATCATACTGGATTGTCTGGAACCCATACGATACCAACTACCAGTATGAAGAAAGGGTTTTCTGAGATCTTTGCCTTCTTCATTTTCATCTCTGAAACTCATTGTTTTTTTTTTCTCAAAACTATGTGAAATGTGTGTTATATTGCTTCAAATCGAAGAGGGTATAATGGTATTGGATGAATAACGTGATTGCGATGGATGGGAGAGCAGGGGAAGGAAGTCATGGACAGCGGTGAAGACAGGTGGACTTTGGATTTGACTGGTTTCATCCTTGATGACGAGGCCTATTGCGATTTGCGTGTGATGGATGGATTTCAGAAACAACAAATGACCATAGAGTTTTTATTTGAAGGAAAATAGACCAATCATATCCTTACCCCATATATTTTGTCTTACCAAAATGAATCCATCTTTTAGCTTTGATAATTGATATTTGTTGCGTGGGGCATCAAGAGAGTCTACAAACTAAGGACGGACCCAATAATTTTTCGATAAGGTGACACCATATAATACGGTTGCATCTTTTAAAATAAAACGGTTGTATTTTTTACGAACCTAATTTTTTTTTATCTTACTACGGAGGGACAATACGGTGACAGGTGCCACCTAACCACTCCTCTAGGTTCGTCTATGCCACAAAACATGTTCTTATTGTTAGATATATGGCATGTGTTTATGTTCGTGAAGAAAAAAGATGGTTTGTCTGTTAATAAAAATGTCATACGTACAAAATAGTAATTTATTTTCATTAAATTTCTTATTACAGTGATGTACTTCCATTTTTTTTCTTATTACAACAACGTGCGTTTAAATTATTTTTTATTAGCTCATTATTATTTTAAAAATCTATCAGTTATAGCAATAAGAAACTTATTATCTTTTAAATCGATTAACTCCTTTACTTTTTCGTTTAGTGGCTTAATTGACATGATATGGATGACATGTCAACACTAATTGCATGTCATGAGAAAAAAACTCTCTAAAAAAAATTATAATTTCCTCACTTTTCCTCCGATATATAAAGTCCAAGAGTGTAATTTGTCAATTATCTTAAAGGGCTGTTTACTAAACACTTATTCGGTAAGTGCTTAATACATAAATTTCTTCATCGGATGAACATGAGAAGGGCCAAGAATCTTACCGGGTAAGAGCGATGAGAAGGATTGAGAGATTTATCCGGTAAGTAAGGATGGCGACTCTCACCCAGGTAAGCGCTTACCTAGTAAATTGTTGCATTCGATATGCTTTGATATACTAAAATCTTACGCATCTAAATAAATTATAGTGTTGACTCCTATTGGTAAATACTTACCGAGTAAACGGCCCCTAACTCTAGAACAATCATCCCGCTGTCTCTCATAAACGGCTAATGGTGGCCTAAAATTGTTGGACACCAAATGAAAACCAAACCTAATGAAACCCATATTTAATTGATCCCCCTCCTGTCTCCATCTTTTGTCGTTATGAGTTCTTTCTCTAAAAAACCGAACCCAATTATGGGTTCATAAATCTACCAAAAACCCTTGAAAATCCTCATATCAGATCTACTTGAGAAAACATCCATCAGTCCACACTTATATAGATAATAATAAGGAAAGGCAAGAAGATATACGAAATATTAGTGTATATGCTCAAAAACCAATCATCAGATAATTTTGTTTGGACATTAATGAAAGATATTGTCCGATTATTATGTCTATATGTTATTTTGTGTTAAATTTAAACGTAACAATAACCTTCGAACATTGTCCCTAGTCAAATATTAATTCGGGTTTAGCTTGAATTAATATGGTAAGACGGATATATATATATATATATATATATATATATATATATA